GTTCAAACCCACCAGCCACTCCTCGGAAGGAAGGTTGGGCAATCTACTTCCGTAGTGATACTGCCTTGGCAACCCAAGGAGGGGTCTCTGTGAGTCGGGGCCGACTCGATGGCAAATAACAACAATAACAACAATGAAAACATATAGTCACTAGCACTAATTCCAAGGGAAAAATTTGCAAAATATGCTCAGAATTCTTGTATTCTGGGCAGATAAACTAATAAAACCTAAGACAATTTACTTGATCCAGTTCATATTCTGCTCACCTTGTTTCACTTCGGACCTGGCCACACTGTGTCTCTGTCTCCGTGTGGGTTCCATGAAGTGGATTTCTCCTCCCCCATGTATGATGCCTTCTGTTTCTCAAAATGACTCCGCTGCATTGGACCCCAGCTTCTCTCTCTTCAGTTACTGTTCTCGCTCTCTCTCCCTTTGCACTCAGTGCTCATTCTAATTCTTTATCCCCTCATTTAATGCTGATTTCCAGGATCATCATCTATATCCATTTCACTCATTTTTTCAGGTCTCTGTTGTAGAGGAATTGGGCAGAGTCTGTCACCAGGACACCATCTTGTCTCCTCCCCTAGGGTATCTCTCTATGATTTCAGATCAGCTTCTTAGAAGCCCCATAGCAGAAAATTTGTGGAAAGGATGGACTTAGCTCCATGTTTGAAGTTCCTTCAGATTCCAATCAGATTTTTTTTAATCCTTTTTGCAACTGTTAAAAAATTCAGCTTGTTTTCCATTATCCCAGTATTTTTCTTTCAAATATGGCATTTTCCCCCTATCTTTCTCAGCTCTCCAATGACCTTAATATATATGTATATGTATATATTAGTTTATTTATTATTTCTCATTGTCTTGGGAGAAGTAATGATTTTTTGTGACATACATCCTTATCGGAAGCCTAATTCATTATATGCTTCCGATATTTTAAACCAATTATTTAAAGTTTAAAAAGAAGAATTTATGGATTACTTGGGAAAGAATTCACATTTTCTCTCCATGACACTTTTTCTTCAGTGTCATAGAAATTCCTGGCTCCTAGATTCCCATATTTTCTCCCTTGAAGTTAACCATCACATGTTCATTTCATATTCTGTGGTCAACCATTTCAACTGCTTCCTTATCAGCAACCTCAACTTTCCTGCCAAATGGCCTTCTATGTTCACTTACTTGGTAATACTGATGTTTTCGTTCAATCTGCCACTCGCTTTCTCCTTGCCTACCACCTCAGTTATTGAACACTTCCAGAGAAATTACACAACTGCACAGATTAGTGCCAATCTACATTAGTGGCTTTAGCTTCAACCTCTGTGATTCCTTAGCATTCTCTCTATCTATCTTTCTGTCCTTTCTTCACTCTTTCCCTCTCTCTCTCTCACTCTTTCCCAAGCACGTATTTCCAACCTACTGTCGACTTGTTGTTGTTGTTGTTGTTGTTTGCCGTCGAGTCGGCCCCAACTCATAGCGACCCCTCCTTGGGTTTCCGAGGCAGTATCACTACGGAAGTAGGATTGCCCAACCTTCCTTCCGAGGAGCGGCTGGTGGGTTTGAACCGCCATCCTTCTGGTGAGCAGTCAAGTGCCTTAGGCACTAAAAACAAACAAACTCACTGCTGTTGAGTTGATTTTGACTCATAGTGACCCCTCCTTGGGTTTCCAAGGTAGTATCACTACGGAAGTAGATTGCCCGATCTTCCTTCTGAGGAGTGGCTGGTGGGTTTGAACTGCCAGCCTTCTGGTTAGCAGTCAAGTGCTTTAGGCACTACGCTACCAGAGCTCTTTAGCAAGAGGAAGCCTGTAATTTGCCTAATGAAAAGGCACAGGAGAGATAAGAGCAACATGATTCCATTTCATTCCCAACACACCCTCTCACACAGAAACAGTAGACCTCTTCCCTACACTGAGTCTCAACCCACCTTCTGCCCCTATGTCACACTCCAGCTCATCACTGCCTTCCTTCTCCCTTGGGTTTCTCATTTTTAGAGTGATTTTTGTTATTTCCTTGATTTTTTTGTTTCCCTCCATTTTCCAAAGATTATTTTGGTTGGTAGGAGTAACAGTTAGGCCATTAGCCATCTCAGCGAAAACTTGAAATCCAAAGACTCAGAAAAGTTAAACAATCCACCTTAAGGTAACAAAACCAGAAAATGTTTTGGCAGGTTTGGAATCAAAGTTTATTTTGCTCCTTATTCAAGTTTGTTTGTTTGTTTTAAATTTGCTTTTTGGAGGGAGGGATCTCACCACCATCAAGAAAGAAGGGCCAGGAGCACAGTGTATCCTTTGACCTGAGAGCCCTTTGCTGAACCTCCTTAATCCAGGACACAGAGAGCTGTGGCACAGGTGATGGCAAGAGATGATGAGAGGTAGCATCAGAGAACAGTGGCAGCAGAGGCAGCAGAACCAAGAGGCCCGAACAAGGAGTGAGGAAGGAGAGCGCCTTTGGGCCAAGGCTTACTGGTAGAATGGGGTGCCTCTGAACACTTACCAGTGTAGTTAAAAGAGCTCAGAAATATTTTCCTGAGCAGGGCAGAGGTCAAAGGGCCATGGGGCCAAGAGCCCAGGGACCAGAGAAAGGTATGCCTATGGGCACTGCTGAGAAGAGGTTCTCCTGATCAAGAACTATATCCTGAGTTGTTTCTGATCCTAAATTGTAACATGTTATTTCTTTGATAAACCCCACAATCATAAAATATCTCTATATCTATCTATTTGATAAAAATAATGCACAACAAAGGATACACCATGTCAATACACTCCATATGTACAATTACATCGTCTACATTCTCCTAATTGTATAACCATTCTCATGATCATTTTCTAAATTATTCCACCATCATTAACATAAAATCTCTGCCCCATAAGCTTCTCACTTAAACTTTGAGATGCTGTTGTCACTTTGATCATACAAAGATAAATCTTGGAAGACTCATTGCTTAAGACTGACACACTCCACTATTAAACTGAACTACAGAGCCCTGGTGCTGTAGTGCATAAGCCATTTGACTGCTAACCAAAAGTTTGGTGGTTCAAACCCACCAGCTGCTCTATGGGAGGAAGATGAGGCAATCTACTTCTGTAAATATTTACAGCCTTGGAAACCCAGTGGAACTCGCTATGAGTTGGAATCAAGTAGATGGCAG